TTTTTTTTCTCTCGTCTGTACTTTTTCCCCTCGTTTGCCGCGCATAATTTCTTTCCCTCCCCCCCCCTCCCCTCTTTATTGACGAGGTCACAAGCATTATCCAAAAGGCGCCCGTTAAGAAAAAGAAAATATAAAAAACAAAAAAATAAAAAGGGCCAAAGCTGATACCTAATCTAATCTTACAGCCGCCCGCAGCCGTGGCGTCTCTTCATGCATCCGTTCGTGCATCCATCAGACCGAACGCTACCTATCACTGTACGTAATATCAGCATGATAACCTTTATGTACATAGGTACTGTACAACTCCGCGACGATGAGGACATAGTGATATTGACTTTCCGTCCCTAATGATGTGTTCGGAGCTAGATGCTTTCGCAGGAGCGCCAGTGGGTAAATCCCTCAGCCCAACCCTAGCCGATGCCTTGTTTGTTGGGTGCCTGGGCGACTGATGATCATCAAACCTAATCAATGCTCTAACCGCCGAGGGGAGCTGTCAAATGACCTTCAGCTCTGTACACTGTACTACGGACTGATGTACTAACTAATATCTGCATGGACGATTTGGATGGGACCATGTTTCACTTACTTGATTGTTATGGTCCCATGTGCGGGATTGTATGGAATTGAGCTGATGCACTAAGTGTCATGGCCAAGTTACTCCGCATTTCAGCACGGCTCAGTCATGTATGGAGTGGAATCACCAAGACCCGGCCCTGCCTATCTACCTACTTATCTGGAACAGCTGAATTCCCCCAAACCCCTCATCCGTACAACTGTCCCAATACCATGATCATATTCCCTCACGCGTCGTTAGTACCCTTTAGTCAATGGATGGTTGCTTCACCTGAGGCTCCTTCAGGCCATATCGGATGCGGGAATTCCACCGGTTAAACCAAGACGTCTATTTTAGTGTGTCCGATAAGAACCATCAGCAATATACTTTGCAGAGCGAAGGAAACAAAGAGGGGGCAAAAAAAATTTAAATTAATTGCCATTGACAAGATTAATGTAACCTCGTAGCTCGGTAGACTCATGTAGGGTTTTGATTGAGGTAACATTCTTCTCACTTAAATTTACAACTTCTTTCCGAAGGACATTTTCCCCAATTGAACACGGACTTCATTTGACTACGAAACGAAAAGGTCGTACATGCAGTACACATACATTCGGACCTGCATTGCATTCATTCGCAACAGTTGCCTGATTGCCTCAGGACACCAATCAGATCAATCAGATCAAATACAAGGATAGGATCCCGATATTTCCCACGTGATCCTCACCTTCAATTCCGCAAACCCCCCAGAATGGCATTCTCCACCTCCAACCACAAGAATAACAAAAGCAAAATAAGAAATTAAAATGGTTTTGGAGCTCCATGTCTGGGGTCCGGCCTTCTCTCTGCCCTCAATCGAGGCGCAATGCCTCGCAACCATAGCCTACTTTTCTCTGGCCCTGCCTAAGGACGCGTGGGTGCTTGTCGCAAGCAGTGATCCGTCCGTGTCCCCAACCTGTAAGTATCCATGTCGCCGATCTGGGGTTTGTAGCGCAATGGACTAACCAAGCCTCCTTACTGTCTGATTGGATGCTCAGGTGAATTGCCCGCTCTACGAAATGGCTCGACATGGGTGAGCCGGTTCCGAAATATCGTGGACTATCTGCGACAATACTCAAATGGCGAGTGGGATTTAGATGGAGGGTTGAGCGGTCTGCAAAGGGCCGACAATATTGGGTAAGTTTGTCTCATATTTGACTTCGACCAATGTCTAGGTGAGCGGAATGATAATCTAACCGCACCTGTGACCCAAAAACCAGATTCTCATCCTTCGTTGAATCCCGCGCCCATGCTCTCGTCGACCTCTCCCTCTACGTAACCAGTCAGAACTACTACAACCAGACCTCCCCCGCATACGGCACCATCCTTCAGTGGCCGAACCAATGGATTCTTCCCCCTAAAATTCACGCTGCCGCAAAAGCCCGAACAGATCATCTCGGGCTCTCGTCGCTGGATCTACAAGCCATTGAAGAACAGCGCCAACGCGAACATTCGGCCGCCGTCGCAGCCGGCCAGATCCCTCCAAACTTCATCCGCCGGCCGCGTGATACCGTCACAAGTCTTCTGGGAAAGACGTCGCAACAGAACCAGTTCCGACTGGATGCCTTGACGGGGGAGCTCTTCGAGCCGCTGGAAGAAATCCTCGGTGACAAAGTTTATCTCCTCACGGGCGAGAACGAAGGTCCATCTAGCTTAGACTGCTTGGCTGTTGGATACTTGTCCTTGGCTCTTGTCCCGGAACTATCTTTCTCATGGCTCCGCGATGCGATGAAGAGCAAGGCGCCTCTGTTGACGGTATATACCGAGCGCATGCGCCAACAGTGCTACGGCCTCGGCGCCGAGGTGTCGCATGCGTATACCCCTACCCCAAATAGCGGTTCGTCACTACCTTGGCGTGCACCGGAGCGTGCACGTCTCACTACGTTGGGGAACACTCTCTTCAACGTCCTTGCCGACAACACGCCGATCCTCAAAGATATCCGCGCCCAGGATAGGCTGCGGGTAGCGGCGGAATCGCCAGACTCGGGCCTCTCGGAGCCCGATAGCCGGAAACTCTCTGCGCTTGCGAAGGGACAGAAGAAAGATATTCTGGTTAATATCGCATACGCCGTGAGTGGCATTGCCGCGTTGATCGGGTACATGGCGTACGAGGGGTTTTTCTCTGCAGAAGTAGGTGATGAATATGAAGAGGACGACGAGCTTGGGGATATGCCGGATATAGAGCCCGACTCACTCCAGGCGCAGAATTTCCTAACTGGGTTTTGATTGTTCCGTCCATTAGTCGATTAATTGGCCATATATGTATGAATAGAATACCTGATTTTCTTCTTTACCCCCTACTCTGTGAATGATCCAACTACACATTATCTAATACCACTCACTCACCTCCCCAAGTCAACACCGGACCTATTTGTACTATAGATATCATATGTACCAAACATCACAAACATCAACATAACAACAGTTCCATATATCTCCATCCCCCAACTCAACAAGACCAATAACGCTGTCAGATATCACAGCCGTCGTCCCCCTTCCAGACTCACAGCCCCTCATCAATCTGCACACACTACCACTACACACCGATGCCTCACATAATACAGGAACATACTAATACATATACATACATAGCGTACCTACATACCCAAACAATCACTCAAACAACCCTAAACAAGCTGCACAACGTTCTCTGACAGTTTGACCCTCAGCCCAAAGAGACTCCGTATACTCAATACGTCACGTCCAACTACGTTTATAGACTTAGTATTTTTAGACCCGGCCTGCTGGATGGAGATTATATCAAGCGAACTCTAACGGTGAGGATACCGATTGCTCTGAATATAAATATGATGCCAATTATAGCAAAGCGAGGGTTGCTGACGTGAGGGGGTATTTATAGATGGGTCGTTTAATCTTCTGTGTATGGGGAGGGATCTCTTGGTTGGGGGCTTAGGGGAGGGGGTGTACAAACTGGGGATTCCAAGGCTGAATTAGGGCTATTTTTGGTTGAAGATTGGGGTGGTATGTGTCATGTACATTCTGACGGGAAGGTATGGAATGCTACAGGTGGAGTATGGACAGCTTGTACGTAATTCTATCGTGATATGAAACTAAATCAATAGACAGTGAACAGTGGTATATGTATGTACATGGAAAAGAATGCACTATCGTCAAGGCCGGATGGCGGTCACGGGGTGTAAGGACTTGAGGATGGAACCACACATCAAGCACCATTACACGCCACGCACAATGAAGAGAAAAACACCTCCAACCCCTAACCAATTTTGCAGAAGAAGACAAGTCATAGAAGGTGAAAAAAAAGAGGAAACCGACAGGTCACAGAAACAACGCTTAGTCGTAGTCAATGTTGACAATCAGACGGAGGGCACCCTTGGTCCACTCGCCACCAATGCCGTCAACACCGGCCTCAAGAGCAGTGTAGGCGTTCTCCACCAGCTTGGCAAAGTTGGAGATGGTAGAGCACTTCTGGTTGTCGTGGGTGCAGATCTTCATACCCTGGACATCCATACCGGCGTTCTGAGCCTGAATGGCGGACACGTCCCAGCCAGACCAGCCCTCGTTGGAGGTGTTGCCGAAGTCGAATTCACCCCAGGTGCAGGCGTAGCCACCGAACTGGTCCACAGGAAGCTTGTCACCCTTGGCAGCACCCCAGGCACCCTGGGAGTCGTCGTCGAAAGCAACATACTTGCTCTCACCGGGGTTGATCTTGATGGTCAGGACAGCATTACCGTACCAGCCAGTGAGCTTGAGATCGGGGCCCATCTTGTTCCAGAAGGCAACGGTCCAGGGCTCCTTCTCACTGCCGTCAATGCGAACGACGTGCTTGTACTCGCAGGCCTTGCTCTCGGAGACCTCGATGATGTTGCTGCCATACGGGTTGCCAACATTACCGATGTACTTGATGTAGGCCTCGCCGTTGTTCTTGGTCTGCCCTCCGAAGCCCTCGCGGGTGTACGAGCCACTGTCCGCATGCCACTCCTTGCAGGATCCGGGGGTGGTTACGGTAGGGCCACTGCTGGCGCTAGGGGCAGCGGTGATGGAAACAACAGAGGAAGTTGAGGAGGAAGCTTGGGTAGGAGCGGAACCAGAGCCGGCGGTAGTGGTGGGGTGACCAGACCAATTGTTGATCCAGGACTGCCAGATACCGTTGATGTTGGCGTAGACCATTTCACCGACCTGGCGCTTCTCCTCGTGCTGCATGTGGTGATGAGTATGACGGCGCTCGTGGCCGTGCATACGGGCGACGGCGGAACCGGCCGTCAACGCCGTGAGCAGGAACATGGAGTTCTTGAGCTGCATGGTGATAAATCGCGTTGGATGTTCACAGGTAACAAGGTTATGGACGGAAGATGTGGGTATCACAGTAGGTATATGTCTCAGAACGACAACCCAGGGAACGCAAACAAGATGAAGGAATGTGCTTTGGGTAGATCCAAGGAATGTCTCGAGCAACCACAGGCTCTATAAAAACAAAAAGTAACGAAAGGAGTGTATTTGCGAACCCGAAGGGAAGGGAAGGAATCGTGATAGAGAAGAGAAAGAGAGAGAGAGACAGAGAGGAAGAGGGAAATAAAAAGAGATCAGGAAGCGACCGGGGGGGGGAAGTTTCAGTGTAATAATACTTCGAGTGGGAGGCCGCCATGAATGGGTTCATTTAATGAAAAGGGGCCGATCAGGGGACACGAGAAGCGTTACTGTGATTCATTGGTTGGGTCGAGGCATCGGTTCCTGAGCATCCCCGATGGCCTTGTTTTTCAGGGTCTCCATTGGTGCAGAAGACCCTGAAGGGTCCACTCCCCACGGCGGTCGAGACTCAAGTCCCTTGGAACGGCCGCCGGGTTGATCACACCTTGACCATGGTTACCATACGGTACCTAGTATACGTGGGTTCCCGTACCTGACGAACTCCATTTTACTGCAGTAGGATTTACTACGAGTAGTTACTACTCAGCTTACATTTCTTACGTAGAGTAGTTTCTGATCATTCTTTCTCAAGACATGTTTATAGATCAAGAGACCTTGTCCATCTCACCTGTGGAAGATGCGACGTATCCCCTGTTGCTGATGTCACATCTCCATTCCGATCATCATGATTAGATTGATGGAATGCGCCCCCATTGTCATGATATGACAAGTCGCCATAAATCCATGATGATGTGTTCCCCCATCAACTGCTGCTGTGTGATGGTTCCTGCATAATCAACAAAGCATCAGTCCAATTACTCATCTTGCGATGGAAGTGCCTGACAACAACTGACCTGCCACGTCGGGAGTCTTCGAGATATAAAGCATATTCTTGATGAACTGTTCAGTCTGTCATTTCAGTTTATACGAGGTACACGAGACTCAACAGCCAATGATACTGGTATATCACTAACGTTTTCGACTTTTCTTTCTTTTTTTTAAAAAAAAAAAGAAATCCTTTCTCAATGGATGCCCCTCTTCCGCCGTTCACCGCAATGTCAGGTACAGTACGCGGAGTCCGTACCGTAAGTACATACTAGTACTACTAGTAGTACTCGGCCAACAGTAGGCAACGATGACTAGTACCTGCTGATTGGTACTAGGTACGGTATCGCTCACCCCCAACACGAAAGGACCACAGTACTTGCTGGGCTCCCAACGCCTCATCTCGAATAATGAGGTACTCTCCATTAAAAGTTCCATTCTTTTAACTGAGATACTGTACCTTACTGATCCTTGACTGTAATGAACCATTTTCGCAATTACAGCCTGCATTCCTTTCCCTCCTCCCAGTCTCAATCCCAGAGTCTCTGTCAAGGTAGGCGACACCGACAGAGACTCCATAGACCCTTCCAGCCAGTTCATAGCGACTGTCGTGGGTCAATGATGGTCGGCACAACAGGATTCCGGGCTAACGAAGGAGTCAGATCCACAATGGTCGCCCGTGCCTGTGGCCAAGCCCACAACTGCCATTGCCACCGGTTAGTCCCAAGACAGTTCGCTGAAGCAGAGATGCCTAGGACGCTTCTGGAATATCTCCCTACTACCCTCACTTGAAAATCTCGGCGCCATGCAAAATCGGAAATGAGGGAGACAGGCATCCGGGGGTAATGGCAATTACACAGCTACACAATTGGGATATAAATAAACAACACTGTTGTGGGTTCGCGTTCCACGGTTGGCGACGGAACCAAGCAAGGGCTGACCATGAAACCGGAGATTACATCGACTGACTTCATCTCATGTCTGCAGCAACTTTCCTCGCTCCAAATTTGAGCCGGGGATATTCTTAGGTTCACCCTTTTTGGCCCATCAATATACTGGCCGACACCCACACGGACCAGGGACTCGTAAGCTGTCTTGGATGATCCCTGAAACCTTATGTCGGCAGTCGGCAAAGCAGGGATCATGTGATGCCCGCCAAGCTCATCACTTGGATTTAGAGTTATCCCCGAATCCGTTCGACTTGCATACGGGGTACGCCATGCGGAGTATCTACGCTGTGCTTGAGCCTTGAGTACTTTCGGCCGTCGACAGGCTGGCTCAGTTTCCCTTCAGAGGAAGATTGGGATGCCTTTTACGAGCATCCTTAACGTATCTATAACCTTGTCTTTAGCTTCTTGGCATACAATGCGCACTGTTCATGACGGACTCCCGGAGCCCGTTAATCCCTACCAGGTACGGACCTGACAGCTATCGGCCGTGACACAGCATCATATAGTGATCTTGGCATCACCTGCAGCTCCATTTCATCCCGGGACAGGAGAGTCCTTGCTATCGTCATATAGTAAGGCACTCGTGATCATCGGTGAGCTCAATACTATCCACCGTCCAAGTCGCACAAGGCCAAACAAAGATCATACTCTGTTTGACCTTCTTTGACTAGACGAGCACTGAGTATAATTACTGCATCGTATGCTGGTGACGCGGCATCATGACCAAGGAAGAAATACGCTACGTTTATGGAGTAGTGCTGGGGCAGTGTACCCGGGTAAAGCATAGTGGTCTCCCGCTCCCCTTGTCCGACAGACACCGTGCATACTAATCCTGAAACATACGAAAACTTTGCGAGGCATTACAAAAAATGGAGACCAAGGTATCATAATGCAAACAAAAACTCTGCATTCGATATCATGCAATACGGAGACACCGTGGTTATTTCAAGTTCAAGATGACCATCGTCAATGCTGTTACTCATATGGTCCCAGCTGATCCTCATTCACCGTACAGTGCGGCGTACCTCTTACTTCAGATCAACACCACCTTCAAATGCCGCTCCGCCAGCCTCTGCATCGACTTTAACACTCTCATCTAGCCCGCAGACCCGGAACAACATCTGCGGAGTCATCTCCTTGGACAAGCCCGGGATACCGTCTACCTTCAGTTTTTCCATTGCCTCGCGCATGGCTGCACAGGCGGGTCCCAGACCAGCGAACGGGAAGATGATGATACGGAATCCCATCTCCTTAGCCTCAGCCGCCGAGATCGACGGGGTCGCCCCATGCTCGACCATGTTCAGCAGCATCGGCCATGGAGCCAGCTCCTTTACCACCTGCCTGGCCATTTCCTTGGACGTAATTCCCTCAAGGAAACCTACGTCTGCGCCAGCGTCCCGTGCTGCTCGTAGACGTGCTACACTCTCCTCGTAACCGTGTGTCTGGAGGGAGTCTGTCCGGGCAATAACCACAATATCACTACCGATGCGCTTTCGCGCCTGCACTGCCGCACGAATGCGCGTCACATAGGTGTCCGTGTCCACAAGGATCTTCCCTCCCAGATGCCCGCAGCGCTTTGTCTGCACTTGGTCCTCGATGTGGAAGGCTGCTACGCCAGAGCGGGAGTATTGTTCGGTCGTACGGGCGACCATGATCGGACCGCCGTACCCAGTGTCAGCATCTGCGATGACGGGTGTAGTTGGCGAAAGATTTGAGAGCATTTCGGCGTTGGCGCGCATGTCATTCAGAGTGCAGATTCCCAGGTCGGCTTGTCCGTGCACAGAGGCGGCGGTACCAGCACCCGTCTATGAGAGTTAGAGAGGATGTGGAGGGACCAACGAGTTTGATTTACCATGTACAGGGCGTCGAAGCCCACGGAGAGCGCAATCCGTGCAGAGAGGCCATCATATACACCGGGGGCGACAACGAACGAGTTTGGGTCTTCAAGAGTGCGCCGAAGACCAGTAGCTGCTGTTACCATCGGCATTGTATGTATGTGCTGCAGGGATTTAGTTGGGGGTCAGGTGTAGGAGGTAGTCGTTGATGGAGACCAAGTTTAGGGATAGGTTGGGCAGTAACAGTCTTGGTTTGAAACTATGCCTGGTCTAAACGATTTAAAGGTGACCTCCTGGATCCACCACTTCATATGCACTAGAGGGAGTTACACCGGGTAACAGGGTCGGCAGTTCAGAGCGTTCTACAGTAGGAAACTTACCGACAAGCTTTATTAAGCTATCGGGGTGGAAAAGAAGGCGAACATCGATGATATCAAGGTGCGGTAAAAGCCGACATCGGGAACAGCTTAAGTAAGGTTCGGGGATAACTCGGGGTTTCCTTGGCATTCCGACGTCTGGGGATTTCTTCCGCTTATCGTATCTTCTTCTTCTGCACCTCTTGCCTTCGCTCCTCCACTTTTACCGCCTCAGAATGTTCTGAGAATGCTCTCCTAGTGGGGCTCTTTTCTCGATACCTGACACCTCTTCTCATTTCCCTACTCTTCCTGTCCTCTCTCTTCATTCCCCATTCCCCATTCACATCATGGCACGCTCTGCCATTGTCCAAGAATACCCCCCTCCTTCCTCCTCCACTCCTACCCTCACCCTCGACCACAAGACCATCCATGAACGCCAACAAAATGGGATCGCTCGCCCCAAAGGCTACCGTGTCTCCTGGCATGCCAACCCAGCTGTCGAACCGCACCATTTCGGTCAATCGCACCCGATGAAACCCTGGCGTCTGACTTTGACCAAACAACTCGTCATGGCCTACGGCATGCACCACGCGATGGACCTGTATCTCGCTCGCGAAGCGACCTACGAAGAGATGGCCGAGTTTCACAAAACAGACTACTTGGATTTCCTCCGCCAGGTCATTCCTGGCGACATGGAGAACCCGGAGCAAGGCGAGAATATTGCGCGCTTCAACTTCGGCGACGACTGCCCCATCTTCGATGGCCTGTACAACTACTGCTCCCTCTACGCTGGCGGCTCCATCGACGCTGCTCGCAAGCTTTGCAACAACCAATCCGAAATCGCAATCAACTGGTCCGGCGGGCTTCATCACGCCAAAAAGGCCGAGGCCAGCGGCTTCTGCTACGTGAATGACATCGTCCTCGGCATCCTACAGCTCCTCCGCCTGCACCCGCGCGTCATGTACATCGACATTGACGTGCACCACGGCGACGGCGTCGAGCAAGCCTTCTGGTCCACCGACCGCGTTCTGACCGTCTCTTTCCACAAATATGACAAGGACAACTTCTTTCCAGGCACCGGCGCCCTAGACAGCACCGGACCAACCCACCCACTGAACCCAGGCGCACACCACGCCGTCAACGTACCCCTCCACGACGGCATTGACGACGAATCCTACATCCGTCTCTTCCGCGAGGTCGTCGGCTCCTGCATCTCAACCTATCAACCCGGCGCAATTGTCCTCCAATGTGGCGCCGACTCTCTCGGCTGCGACCGCCTCGGTTGCTTCAACCTGAACGTTGCCGCCCACGGCGCCTGCGTCGCCTACGTCAAAACCTTCGGTCTCCCCCTCCTCGTCGTCGGCGGCGGCGGCTACACCCCCCGCAACGTCTCCCGCGCCTGGGCCCACGAAACCTCCATCCTCATCGACGCCCAGGATACCATCGACCCCAACATCCCCGACACCGTCGCCTTCCGCAACCACTTCGGCCCAGATTACTCGCTCTTCCCGCCGCTGAGCGAGATGCGCAAGCTCGAGAATAAGAACCCGCGCAGCTACCTGTCCGGCCTCGTCCAGTCCATCCACGAGCAGTTGCGGTATATGCAGGGCGCGCCCAGCGTGCAGATGAGTTTTATTCCGCCGGATATTCTGGGCCTGCGGGAGGATACGGAGAAGGAGATCGAGGAGCAGATGGAGCAGCAGGATGAGGCGCGGGAGGAGAAAGAAGGCGGTGGGTCTGCGAGTAAGAATAGTCGACGACGGGAGTTGGAGAGGGGTGCTGGGCAGAGAGGGGAATTATTCTCTGCTTGATTCGGGTTCCCTTCTTTACTTTACTTTTTTTTTTTTGGGCGCGCCCCCTCTCTCTGTTGTCGTTGAGTCTATGCATTTCGTCTCTTGGTGTTGGTGGTATCGGCGTTGATCGTGTCGGTTGTCTTGGTGGTTACTGTCCGTGATACCAATGGAGTTCAATGTACCATGTTAATATTAAAGATCATAACACATACAATATACAACCTATTAGAATCTTATCTTATCCGCTATGTATGGTTCGAATGAAAATAGAACTAAACGTATTTGATTATATTGTGGAATAGCACGACTTTAAACTGCATATTAGGATAACCACTTCATCGACAGATTCTATGCTCCCATCCGTCCTTCTTATACTCCTATATGTATGCCGACCAACCAACCCTTTATTTTTTGCCACGTGATATAATAATTATAAAGACAGAATATTCAATCGGGTATCCAGTAGAGGTTCGGTAGGGCACATCGGTCGAAACCTGGTTTTGAACATGGGCCTGGAGTCATAGGGTGCGACAGGACTTTCTGATGTACAGTCAAATCAGTCAGTCAGTCACATCCCTTCATTCGCTCCATCACCACAGGCTAACCACGTTTGTAACTCCGGTTTGCGCTACCATTTCTTTTTATGCTTCTCAAACTCCCCTTTTTTGTGTCATCTCATGGACCTTCCGAGACCTGGATTTGGTTCGAGATGCGGTGGTTAGATACTAAACCGCCGAGATGCGAGTCACACGTATCCCCAACGGAGATGCGGTCACGGTTTAGCGTCCACGAAGGTGTCGACATCCGATGTTTGCGTGTCTTTGCGCTGCACCTCTTCGGGCATTTCACTCGCGGAGGATGCGGGCTGAGCTGCGCTCGGGGCGGCACCGTTGTGATCAGGTGGAGCCGCCTCGTGCCCCTCTTTGTGAGGTGGGATTTGGTATTGAGAGGACTCGGTCTGACCTTCTAAGATCGGGGCAATGGATAAAATTTGCTTGGTGGCCAATTCGGGATTGTGCGAATCACTGCGACTCTCGTGAGTTTGAACCCATCCCGCACGCCTGTGGAGAACTTACACTTGTGCGTTGATGATCCAGTCAAGATCTTCCTCGCCTTCGTCGGCACCGCCAGGGCCTCCCTGAACCCGACGGAAGAGTTTCGGATGCCATTCCACCCCGTCATTGGTCCGCTTGGCCGCTTCTTCTCGCTGGCGATCTTCAATCTTTGTCTTTTCATCCGTGGCCACTTCGTGATTCCGTTCCTCGAGCGCCTTGACGGTAGTCTGCCACAGCCGCTGCGACTCGCGTTCGCCCTGCTGTGCGATGGGCCGCACATGGGGAGGGGTATGGACGGCAGTGCTTGCGTTGAATAGAAGTTCTTTCTTGTGGGTCTGCGCCAGTTAGATATCCGAGGCTGGTAGATGCCTTTTTGTGGGGAAGGGAACAAACATACCTGGACATCTGTAATGAACATCTCCTTGTTCCAATAGCCGGACAATTCATAGTATACCTGGCCGGTCTCGCTGTTCTTGATCGTCCCCCCAATTTGGTTATAGGAGCCCGTGAAGTAGCCCTTGGTCTTGAACTCGATATCGGCAACCAGATTGTTCTCCGGGCATCTGACATAACTGTGGTCGCCTAGCTCATATTTCATCTTTCCGATTAGAATATTCCGGGCGTACATATTCGGCTGAGTCAAGATGCTAGAGTTGACGTTAGTAGCAGCGCCACAAACGGAGGCAGACATGGGCGAAACATACTATCGCTCGCCCCTGTCCTTGTTCGAACCGCGGTTCAAAAAGCGCAAAATGGCGATTCCCTCCATCATGCTTCCGGCCGAGTTACCCAAGAACTTGCTGCGGGGGATCAGCGTCCCGTCTATCCGGATACCGTGCTCGGGGGCCATGAAGAAATAGCTCGATTTGGGAGGGTGGTGGGAGGTTTGTTCGGCGATATAGTATCCGCGGGTTCCATCCGGATAATCCCAGTAGCCAGTAAAGGTTTCTCCTAGAATCGGGTTGAGCGGTTTCTTCACACCTCTGTCGTAGAGTGTTAGCGAAGGTTCCGGATCACCCGTGTGATAGAGAGCCACAAGAGCAGACATACGGAGGCTTGATGTGCCAACCGCTCAAGTAGAACTTGACCACGGAGACGAAGCGTTCGAGGGGATCATCGACGGTGGGCATGGGCAGAAGGGTCTCCGGATGGGCCATGAAGCTAGTGACAAGGTAATATTAGTTCTGATCGACGCAGTACCAACAGCTATAGCACATACTTGGTGATCCGCTCCAACATGGACCGTGGTTCTAGAATAAAGGTAGGCAGCACCACCCGACTCAGATCAGCTCCGGGACGGAGCTGGCTGATAATGTGCGACAGGACTGAGAGGTCAGCTTTTAAGCTCCCTAGGAGATGTCACCGCAAGAGAGTTCTCTCATGCTCTTGACAACGGGCAGAATTTTTGTTCTCTTTTCTTTTTTGTTCTACGTACCATTACCCTGGTCGGGTTCGGTGTCATCATCCCCGACCACAACATTGGGTTCATCCGTAGATGAACGGTTACCTGAGGAGTTGAAGAAGGAGCCCCAGTCAGCAGACATGGTGGGAGGGGAGGAGAGAAGAGGTATAAGAAAAAATGGAGGGATGCCAACTATATGGTGTTGAGGGGAGAGAGAAATGGAACTACAAAAATAAGAATGTATGTATGGCCGTTATGTTATGTATGTAAGGTAGGTGTAAAGTATGGGGGGAAAGGAAGGAAGGAGGGGGACTGGAGTAAGAGAAGAGGGGATGACGTTTTGAAGGTGGGAGGGAAATATGACCAAAAAAGAAAAAGAAAAAGAAAATAAAAAAAAAAAAAAGGCGGAAAGGTGACGTTTAAGGTCTGTAAAGTCAAGTATGTAACTTACTCGTAGCAGGACTCGCCAACGACGACGGGCGGCGGATATGCGACAGTATGGCCATGACTGCCTACTACCTAGGAACAAGTACAGTACAATGAACAATCTTGTTGGTTGTGTCGCTTGGGGCAGAATAGAAGTCGTCGTCGTGGTAAATAGTAGTAGTCGCGTTGGGGATATTTTTAAGTTCGTATTCGTTCTCTTCTTCTGTTTTTGTTCCTTCTTTAAATCAATAAAAAAAAAGAAAACACAACAACGTGTGGTTGGACTGCAATTCAATCACCTGATATCAATCAGGTTCATAAGGAATGAAAGACAAGGAACTACACCCCAGATTTCTGTCCCTCAAAAAATCCCTCAACAATCAAAGAGAATTTGTATTAGAAAAGAAAAACGAGGAAGAGGAAATCGGTACCCGCTGAGGTGGGTTATGATTTATATAAGCTGCGGTGGATACTCGAGGGAAAAAAAAAGAGAAAGATTAGTATGCTCTGAAAAAGGAATGCTTGAATCTCAACAGAAGATCATCTCCCATATCCCACCATTCACCCCGATACCTACAGACATCCATGCCACAGTGGTATATCACAGTGGTATATGTATGCAGTTCATGTATGTACCCCTCTTTTGACTAAGGGTAGATCTAAGCTGAAAGAACTTCTTTTGCATACAGTAAGGTTTGCATCATTCATGGTCAGAGACCTGTGGAATCATTGAGCCATAGAGAATGTCCCCTAGACACATGCTCAACGAAGGAAGTTTTTCTCACCGATCCTCCGAGAGCTCCATCGATAGAGGGGCCGTAAGTACATCTTGGCAAGTGGGGATTGCGTAGCCATTCAGAGTTTCTCATCGTCTTCGGAGCTTGTTCGATGAATGTTCCATTTCCATGACGCCAGTAATTTACGGAGTACTTCGGTTTGCAGTATTGTTACTATACATACATCCAGCCATTCTATACAGGCAACCCCTCGAGTGGCGGTCTTGGATTAGTGACTCTATCCTATCAACTTCTATACAAGATAGCCTAGAGCTAGTCATCTGGGGAAAAAAAAAAAAAGAAAAAAAAAAAAAGAAAAAGAAAGGAGTGAAAGGGAAAAAAAACCATGACCCTGGACGGCACTAAGACGAAAACAAGCATAATTTAACTAACCCGAAACATATCCAATCCAAATCAGCGCCAAAGTAGAAAAAAAAGACGGCGGGATCTCTCTCGCTTTGAAGCAGCAACGGTCGAGAACCTCCATTCATAAACAACCCTCATGTCCTTGCAACCATCGGTACATCCCCTCCAGTGATTTCCTTCAGGAATTCTGGATCTGGTTTATATAACATGACATGAAAGTGTTCTACCGCATGCACTGACTTGAGAGACTTCCAGTTTTTGAACCAGATGACCTACAATGATGGTCAGTCGTCACTTGACCATGGGACGGAATCACGAAGGCAGCAGACATCATAACCACCACACGCACGGGATACATACTTTCTCTGATGGTACTCGCGAGCAAAACGTCTTCTTCACATAGTTATCGATCTTCTGCCTGGCCTGCGGTGTCAGATCGTCGGTCACCGGATCATCTTCCAGCTCAAACTTGGTCCACACCACTAAATGGATGATATCTTTTTCGATTCCGTACGGCCAGTCGTTGTACAAAATTCGAATATCCTCTACAAATACCATCAGCGACTGGGCTCAGAGACCCATATCCCGCGAGATTGAACATGAACTCACCGTCAAACTCGAACGGGCGCCCTCTGGGTTTGAGGTCGTCAGGACTGCCCTCCCCCCAGCGTAGTCGCTCCCTTACAACAAATCGCATGACTGACCCATACTCGGCAACAATCCACTCCTTATATTCGAGATACTTTCTTAAATCACTGGGAAGGCGTTGGAAGCGATCGATTTGATTGGTGCCTAGATACTTAGATGCGGTTCCCAATAATCCCCTACACACATTGTCGAACACTTACGGATAATCTCCTTCACTAGTTCCCACCCTTGTCTCCCATATTGTTCGTCAGGAGTCGACAGTATCTGGATATTCTTCTCACAGATACCACGGAGAAAGCTTGGGCATTCAGCCGGCCATCTGTCAGGAGGGACGTTGACCAGCCA